CCTGAAAATGGGCCTATCGTTCGCACTACATAATCATTACAAAAAAATGCGAGCAAATCATTGCGCAACGTCTGTGTGCTTACAAAAGCGTAAATACACCGCATATTACCGACCTACTCAAACCTAAGCGTTGATGGTATGGCATTAACCTTGAATGTGTGAGTATCGCAATTTGACCATCATTAGTTTTATTTTTTTACTCGCTACAAAGTGCATCATCGACGGGAGCGAATTTACAAACTTTGCGACACCGAACACCGTATCCCCTAAAAAAAGACAAGCGTGCGTGTGTGCATATAAACATTAGTAATGATTTTGGAGGTCAAACTAAAAAATGCTAACTACATAAATATATCTAATAAGCCAAAAAGGGAATACCGACAATGACAGCGCGATATATAAGACAATAATTGTTTCGTCTCATGTGTCAGAATGCTTATTAAGGTTAACTGTGTATCAACTTGTAGGAAACATAGAAATAAGGGTTATTACATGTCATATTAGCTGTATTTAATTAGAGACAACTGAAATTTGGATATTTCAGATGAGATGAATTTGGAAGAGGAATTCTATTGATTCTCAAGTTCGTTTATGACATATTTTAACGCAGAATTTCCCATAACCACTTAGGACTTTACATTCAACATTAAAACCAAATTACATATATTTTTTTAATTGATTAAATTCTTAATAACATGATTATAAAATTAAATGTCATTCTTGTGGTAAAAATAGGATCTGATTATAAATTAACAGCTTCATTTCATATTATTCATATACATACATATATCATATGTGTTAATATGCATCACATATACTCTATATTTTAGTATTAATAAAAATGTATAGATTAAAATCAAAATATTTTTTAGACTTTCATGCGATTTGTGGAACATATTTCTAATTTCGGGCGTACACATCCGTTTAAAACAAATTAAACTGACAGACACAGACATCTGTAACAGCGGAAATGTCTTATTTTCTTCGACGATCGACCTTGACCGAAAACATGAAAGGTTGTAGGGCAAATACCTACCAACATTTTTGTATATTACGGCACAAATGTTTCTTAAGAAAAAACAAATAAACGGAACAATAAATCAAAAATAAAACAATCTTTCACTTTGCCACTTCGGAGCTATGTTATATATTTTACCAGACTCATATAAATATTAGCAACATCAAAAAGCAAGCAAGAAAATACCATAAAATCATTAATCAGGGCAAATGATTCGACCGAATGAAGATATCATTAACGATTACTCGCATTAATCAGACTATGAGAATTAATCAAATAGTTTTTCAAACAACCACATCAAAAGTTTTAGTCACCTCAACACCTGCAAAACAAACAGACAGACAAAGAATACATTCATGCATGGATACATACATATGTTAATATTATAACCTATCAGACAAGAGTCATAACATTAACTTGTTTTTGTTTTTATTAGTTTTATGATTTTATGCGTGAAAGAATGAATTCGAAATAGACAGGTAGAAACACATCATTTTTTGACAGGCTGACGTCAATACTGACATACAAATATACGAGGATTGACTACTCAGTAAAGAAGACAGATATTTGAGAATCGGTTGGTTTTTCAATATCAATGTTTATTGAGGCGTAATTTTAATTTTAAAAACTTTCTTCACCATGTATATTAGAATTTTTCGGTTAATCTACATTATGGGAATAACAACTTTCGAGCTATCATAATTATGTAATGTCAGAATTTTGTGTCTTTTAATTTTTCACAGACGGTAAAATGTAAACTCTAATATTTATTTTACATAGCTCATTAAGATACTACTTTAAATAATTGTTCGGTTAAATAATTCCAGAAATTCGTAGCAATATAATTTTTCTTCTTCTTCTTCTGTCGTTATGTAACGGTGTACTAATGCAGGAACGTTTTTATACGATATATTAATAATTTAAATTAGGTATCAGTTGTGTAATTAAAAATTAGTTTAGACAAAAAATAATATTTTTAAATTTTGAACACCCCCAATTAATCATCGAAGACCCAATAAGTATATATATATTCGTGATCAGAATTAAATTCTATGTCGTCTGTTGAAATCACGATATATATTGCAATAATTAAGATAGAGACCCCATATAATGGTACCCTACAATTTTCGGTTGGACACGTTTTTCAAGCGAATTAGCCAGCAACGTACATAGGATTTCATTTCGGGGGGCCCGGTAGTACAAAATGAATGCGTACGTCCCTGGAATTAGCTGTAGGTATATATTTTGGATTCTTATTGAGTGCCAATCTCACATCCAAAAATTATCAATATCTGTCCCGCATTGTACTGGATTTTGTTAACCCATTTCCATTTCTTTGAATATATGACAAATAGATAAAGTTCCAATGTAAATGCCATTTATTTTGAATATCCATCTCATGTTGGAAGGCATAAATAGTTCGGCCTGGCCAATCAAAAAGACATTTTTACTTGTTATATGAATTATACAGATGATGTTTTTGTGATTCTAATCACTGTTGATTTATAGATTCATCCTCGTACAAACCAAAATAAAGAAGATCTTAAGTGAATGTGTGAAGATTACTATGAAATGCAAACAGGTTTTGGAGTTATATCAAATCATGAAAATCCATTACAAGGGCAGAGTAAAATATTTCAAATATTCAGAAAAAACCCTTTCCTCTTCCGATATTATTGTACACAGTACGAGTACTATCCAATATTAAAACAATGGTTGGCATGTATAAAGAGTGTACAGCTTACACTTTCCGATTACCGGTATTTGGTTGAAATTGTTTTTAATTTAGGAATAAATTAAAAATCGCTGTTAGCGTTTAATTACACTATGTAGCATGGTCTGAGGGATGAAAATTCCTTTTGGGGATGAAAGCCCTCGGCGAGTATTTTAAGAACTTAGAAGGACAAATTCGCCATAGGTTATGTTTTTGGGTTACATCGTGATTAATTTTTTTACTGTTGACCTAACAATTCATAAAGAAAACAGTTTTATCTGTTTGTTTGCGGTCATTGTAGATTCTATTTGAGATGGCATGTTTCAGTCAAATCGAATGAGGATTGTTTTGTAAGAAATATCTTCCTTTGTCTTGATTCATTATGTGTCCTTTTCCATTCATCCATACCATTTTGTACCCTATTTTTTGCTAAGTAAATACATGTAGTAATAATTGTAAAGAATTGAAGATTCGTCTGAAATATTTACTATAATATCAATGTGTCAAACACGTTATTAACTTTTATTTGCGTGGAACAAATTTGGATCCCTAACCTGAGACTGATTTGCAGACCATTTTTCTGTACCTTTTTTAATCAACCGATTAAACTGCGTATGGAACTGCAGGTCCATGTTATAATACGTCATTTTATAAATGATTAATTGCTGGCACTTAGGTTAGAAGATTGGAAAAATTTAAATATGCCGAAAATGGCTATAGAAAAAAAGACATATTGATATATTGATATAATTATCAAAAAACACATTACATCCAACTGATTAAAAAAGGGACTGAAATGACAAAACGTGTGCCGATCCTATTTTCAATACCAAACATCTTAGGAATAAAATCTAAAAATATATACTTTGGGTATGGGTATAAAAACCAAATAAATAATTAAGATGATAGAAATGAACATAGACACCGAAAATAATATAAAAGTACTTTTACATATATGATTAAAAAATCGACTCGACAAACACTATTAAAAATTTGCGCCAAAAAAATTTGTTTACAATTTGAAAATTGCAACAATGCAATGTTTGGATATTTTGAGAGTGGTTTAAGTCCATTTTTTCTTATATTGAGATATTAAAAGGTTTTCGTTTGATTTGTTTCAAAAATGTTGTTAGGTGGTATTCATTTTATTTGGGGCTTTGTGCCCTTAAACATGGTCGAGTATATAAAGCAATAGACTTAAACCACTTTCAAAACACATGAAGCAAGTTCAAAAGAGAACGATAAGAATTGCCGCAAGTGAACTCCCCTAATCTAAATCAGGACTAATTATAATAATTATTTTTATATTGCTTTTGACGTCTGTTGAATATCAAAACAAACAAAATGTGAAAACAGTTGCAAAATTTGGTTCATTTTGCGGGAAATGTATTTATTCGTATGATTTAAAATGACGAAAAATTATTTACATTTGTATGATAAGTCATGATAAATTCAGCATGATTAAGAAAATAAATCCTCAGTCGGCTTTTAATAATGACCAAATGTTATATGTAAACCCGCATTGCCCGAATAACACTTACTGAAACTGGCCATGTGAAGCAGACTGTCAAACATGGTGATGCTAGTTCAAGAAAATGTTCAATTAATTTTATAAAATTTTATGGAACAAAATGTTGTATGCATTTAAATAGAATATTAGGACAAAACAATCAAGCACCAACTAACACTGAGGCACTTTAGAGTTGTAATTAATTATCTTGTAAAAACCAGTTCAATTAATCCTGGGAGTGGTACACGAGCTTTGAAGAAATTTAGCCACATCAGGTCGAATTATGAGACAATGGTTTGAGCGTCCCAGATGATATTTTAAAGATAGCCCAACACAAGTCGGGCATGTAACAAGGAAGTTCTTTGTCACATTTGCACTGAATTTTGAAAGAAAACTGAATTTCAATAGTGGCATCAAGATGTTATACCAACACGTGGAAACACTTCAACTTCGTTGTTCATTAACCCAAAAATATGTGTGTAACGCCACTAACATACTATTAATTCCTATTCCACTAACTTGTAACTTGGCCACAAACGAAACCCACCCACTACATACTATTGTTTACACATATGTACATACATGCATGTTTATACCGTCATTTACTTTTCATTACAGGTACATGTCTGACGACAAAAATGCCACTCTCTCCCTTGTAAAATAGACGCACTACTGTAATTGGCAACCAAAATACCGAATTGTCCACCACTAAGAGCGCATCCATTCAATGGCATATACGACATCCGCAACGACGACCCTGAATTGACGAGCCACCAGTGAGAGTGAGTGACACACAATCGCCCAGAAAGCAAAATAAGAAAACGCGCGCGAACGCTCCATCCAAATAAAAAGTGACGAAGGTCTGTGCAGTAAAAAAAGTCTATGGACTAAAATGGATTACAGTTATCGACTTTTATGGCTCTTCTGCATTTCATTCGGTAAGTGAACGTTGTTAGTTAAAAGTGCGCCAACTCGCTGGTGTTAATCACCCACCTAGCCACGTAAATTTTGAGTGCGCAAGTACATATATACGAGTGTATGTGTGTGTGTTTTGGACACACAGTGTCATGCATGACAATTACATATACGCTCCACTAACCTAAAAACACGAAACGAAATGAACGAACCATTGTTCCAATTATTATCCCATACATGTACATACGAATATACTTACTAATAATAGTATCGATCGATATCGATATACTTGCGAAGTTGACCAAAACAGGAACATAACACCCTTTATAGATTTTCAGATCTGAGCCGTATAGACTTTTCCTAGTTTTTGTTGGACGCCAAGTGTATGGATAAATTCTAGATTTCAATGTGACCCCCAAAATGCCAAATATTGGGGGTACCGTTATATGGGGGCCGCCCATACACTTGGGTCACTATTAATACTTTTTGGTACTGACATGTGCTATAAAATGAGAGTCCACAATAACAAATTACAGCCAATTTCCTTCGAAACGTGTTCAACATGCTGAAAGTTGGGTGGTACCGCTATATGGGGGGCTACGCCAAAACGTGAAACGATATATCCCATTTGGAATACCAAACATCCTAGGAGTACTTGCAATGTCTGTGCAATATTTCAGAGCTCTATATTAAATATCGCAACCGACATAAAATGTTTTTCTGATCAAATATTTCGAGGTGTTGGAAACGGAGTGACAAATTTAATATACACTCCACCTTAGGTGGTATAATAAACATTTTAATCGTTAACCTACAACAGTGCCATTATTTAAAAAGCAAAAGCCGGGCAAGATTTGACTTTGTGTGTAAGACTATAATCTCCAAGATCGACATACATATCATTTTTTAAATATATGTATTTTAAAAATATTGAAAGTGTCCGTACAATACAGTTTTGAATTCATATATTGCTCATTTGCTGCAAGACCGGCATAAATCAAAAAAATTGATTTTGGTGAAAATGTGGTCTAAGCTTAACTCTCAGATATTTTTAGACGCAGATATTCATCTGATTTTTTATAAAACTATGAGAGTAAGTATGGGCTTATATTAAGAATGAGGTTCGTACATTTTTTTTTTTTCAATTTATTTGACAGTCTCAGCAATTGCACACACATTCACATACATTCAAATCTCGAAATATGGTCTCGACAAACATGGATTTTTGACATATTCTCCACATAAAGGTCCCGTACAATCCGAATTTTCCATATATACAGTGGCGAGCAAAAGTGTATGAATGTTGCTCTTTTCTCAAAATATTACCCTTTATTTTTTTCATAAAAAAGGAAACGACATAATATTGTATTTGGTTTATAACTTATTTGTTTATTTAACCCATTTATTTAATGCTAACATAAACTTATTTCATTCGACCACTTTTGCACGTAATTAAAAAATCTAAGTATACATATTTTTTTAATATTTGGCCCACAATCCTTTATTCTTTTTAACGCTTTGTAAACGCTTTGGCATACTTTCCACTAGATTATGAAGAGTTTCTTCCGGAATATTCTTCCACTCATCTTGAATTCTTTCCCAAAGTTCATGTTTTTTGGAGATCTTTCATATACTGCCAATCTCCTCTTCAGGAGGGCCCATAAATTTTCAATTGAATTTAAATCCGGGCTTTGTGGTGGCCACTTTATCAATTGAAAATTTTGAGTTACAAGCCAATTTTTAACAATTTTTGCGGTATGCTTTGGATCTCCATCCTGCTGGAACCATGTGTTCTCTTCGGGATATGGACATTTTTCTAAAAAATCTGACAAGTTCATCTGAAGAATACTTAAATAATCTTCCTTTTTCATTATTCCGTCTATTTTTACCAAAGGACCAACATTCCACCATTAAACCACCACCACCATGCTTTACAGTTTGCTTGACATGGTGACTCTGAAGATATTCTTTCCCAACCAATTAATTTTTGTTTCGTCCGACCATATCACATTCCAGTTACCATACTCTTTACAAAATTGTAGACGCGCCTTTACGTTCTTGGTTGACAAAGCTGGTTTTTTCTTCTTAACTGCCGAAACTAGCCCAATTCTTCGCAATGCCCGTCTAATCGTCCATTCACTTACGCTTTTACTAATTGCTTTTGCTCCTAGTTTTTTTTTATTTTCCAAGAATATATGTTATTGTTAATATATTTAAAAGAGATTAACATCCAAATGTTCAAAAATCGGGTAAAATGATCTTCCAAATAATGAGAATTTAGTATCAAAGCAGAACATACCAAAAACAACGGTAAACCAAAAAAAAAGAACCAACAAAAGTAATGCCAAGTTTTACGTGCAAAAGTTTTCGAATGGTGTTGTAAAGAGTTTAATAAAAATAAATGTAATATACAACACTTTTATTAAACTTTTTTTATTCATAAATATAGTTTAGTAGATGTGCAATAATGCCTTAAATTTTTTCCCCCATTTGGCTTTATAGCTAAAATTTAGGAAAGCAACAAATATGAATCGAGCAACATTCATACACTTTTGCTCGCCACTGCACGTTACTATTTAGAACAATTGCATAAAATACCTTGTTAATAACAAAAAATAATCGAAGTTGGCCATAATTTCTCTCAATATTTGCTGGCAAATAAATTTATGCTTGCTGTCAGTTTGATCAAACTGTTTTGATTAATAAAAGATTCTTGCAGGTTTTCATTCCAAAGGTATCTCTCGATACCCATGAATTAAGAGCGTCTTCATATTATTATGTTTACAAAATTACATATAATCTAGACCTTTGTGACCAACAAGCAAAATTTAGATCAGAAGCGACTTCGAATCATGTGTACCATAAATCATAGATAAAACGTTTTAATGGAATAAAATTTTTGTTAAATATTCCCCATATACGTTTCAAACAATAATATTACAATTATATCATATTTATAATTATGTATATATATTCGTATTTTCAGGACCTATTCTATTTTCTTTCGTTTCACTGCAGGAAATTGCAAGTCCCGTTTTTCAAAACCACAAAACGAAAGAATGGACAAATTTAGATAACATTACATTCTCTTTCGATTGTACGAAACGTCCAGTTGGATTCTACGCCGACATGGAATACAATTGTCAAGTAAACTTGTGAACCTTACCACATTCAAAACGTTGACTTTATTGACTTCTACATATGATTTCAGATATTCCACATGTGCGACGAAGAGGGTAATCGTATTCCACACTTATGTGCCAATGAAACATCATTCAATCAGGAGTATCGAATTTGTGATTGGGATTACAATTTCAACTGCACCGAATCTCCGGTAAGTCCATTCGTTTATTTGAGTACATCCCAACACACCAATAATCGCTCGATTTTCAGAAATGGTTTTACTTGAACGAACTTACATATGCCACAGAGCCCCCGGACGAAGATGAAGACTATTAATTGGTCGAGTTCGTTTGACCACTCAGAACTCAATGCAAATGTGTTCCTGACGCACAACCCAGCATGGGTGACCCAAAGCAATACTCCAACGGGGTGATTATTCAAACCTGTAAACAAGTGTAAAAAAGTTAACAATCAATTAATATAAATTGATGTATGTATAAATGTTGTATGTATTTAATGTGTGTAAGTTTATTTTATTTTACTTGTGTAGCTTTTGTAAATTCGTCACTATCTTATTTTATGTCCACCTACAACTGTAAATCGAAACCTAACTGTTGTGTAGTGTAATGCCTTTCTTTCGTGGAAAGGAAAATGTTGTTGATATTTTAGCCAATAAATAGTGTGTTGAAAATGTTGTAAATTGAATAACTATTTACGTTATCTGTTTTTTTTTTATTTTTTATGGTTTTCATTTAATATAGGATATCATCGAAATTGTATCTTTAACGATAGATTGTTAAATGTACAAATAAATTTATGTTTCAAAAAATTCATATTTATGGTTCCACATTTACTTAATAAGTCCACGAAAAATTACTGGTGTACACATTTATTGCACAGTTCCGCTTGAGCAAAATTGTGCTCACTGGAACATCGGACACTAAAAATTCAATCAGATTAGAAAGTGGCTTAGGAAATGGTCTAACGTTTGCTGTTTTTCCCGCAAGCTCTACACTTGATGCTTCCCTCGCACCAAAATTGTGTAAATATGCCTGAAGGCTGTTGTGTTCTGTAAAAATACCTATAAGTGCTAATTTCCTTTTTTGTTATGCGTTATGATTTGCTTTGTCCAATCCTCATTTGGGTCTTCCCATAAAATTCTTGTGTTCTTTCCAGCCCCCTCTTTATTCCAAAGAGTGGGTCTCCTTTGCCCATGACCTCAGTTCTTGGCGTGTTGCGATAAAATGTTTGGCATTATTATCATCTACTGTTGGTCGGTCAGTGACACTCCTGGCGAGTAGATTTCTTATCAATTCCTATTATTATAAATTCCAGTAGAGTGTTGGTTTAAACTGTTTTGAAAGTTATATTTAATTATTTCAATAACAATTAGTAGTACGAATTTCCAAAACTTAACCGAAACTACACCCGCACTGTCATCCTAAAACCAAGTTTCAGGATTCCAACTCTATCGGTTCACCTATAATTCAAATTGTCCAAATTTAGTATATAGTAGTACCAATTTCCAAAACTCCCTACATACCACAATCATGCACCTCCACAGCGATCCTAATTCAAAATTTCAGAATTCCAACTCTATCGCTTCGCCCACCATTTAAATTGTACCAAATTTAGTTCACATTTCTAAAACTTCCTAAATATATCAATCTAGAATTCCAAATCTATTGCTGGCTTGTGACAGAACTTTCGTTCCATAAGCCGAGCTTAAAAAAGATTTCCAGGCGCGTCGGTCTTTTGCGCAGTTTTTCCAATTTAAAAGACCATATTCGGCAATGTTGTCTTCCACTTGGTCTTTCCATCTTATTCCCCTTCTGCGTGAACCATCAGCTGGTTCGCTTTTATATGCCTTCTGCGCTGGGGCATCTTCATCCATTCTCACAACATGACCTAGCCAACGTAGTCGTTTCAGCTCAATACGTCTAACAATGTCAATGTCCGAAAATGGCTGGTACAACTCATGGTTCACTCGAAATCGATATTCTCCGTCAACGCAGATCGGCCCATAGATCTTTCGGAAATTTTTTCCCTCGAACACTCCAAGAGCTGCCTCATCTGCTAGCGCAAGTACCCATGCTTCAGATCCATATAACAGCACGGGTAGAATCAGCATCTTTTAGAGTGTGAGTTTGGTCTGGCGGGATGTGGCCTTGCTTTTGAGTTGTTTGCTCAGACCATCTGTTGGCCATCACTATCCTTCTCCGAATTTCAAAACTGATGTCATTCGTTTTATTTATGGCGGTACCAAGGTATATAAAATCTTTGACTACCTCGAAGCTGTAGTTCTCAAGTTCCACAGTTGGTCCGAGTCTACTGGACGTTTTACGCGTTGATACCATCGGCTTGGTCTTCTCGCCGTTTACTGCCAGACCCACTTTGACAGACTCCTTCTCGATTTGTTCAGAGGTGGCTGTTACCGCTCTCAGTGTTCGACCCATTATGTCGATGTCATCGGCGTAGGCGAGTAACATGTGTTGTTTGGTGTACAGAGTGCCATTTCTGTTCACTTTTGCCTCTCGTATGACGTTTTCCAGCAGGATGTTAAAAAGGTCACACGACAAACTGTCACCTTGTTTGAATCCTCGTTCGGTAGTAAAGGGCTCCGGGAGGTCCTTTCCGACTTTAACTGCTAATCTTGTGTCAGTTGAAGTTATCCTGCATAGCCGTATTAATTTTGCAGGAATGCCAAACGGATGGAGCTGTCGAATGTGGCTTTATAGTCGACGAATAGGTGGAATGTGTCAATGTGTTTTTCGTGGGTTTTTTCAGGATTTGGCGCAGAGTGAAAATCTGGTCAATGGTGGATTTGCCAGGTCGGAAGACGCATTGATATGGTCCAATAATGGGATCGGGAGAAATCCAAGTGGCCTTGTGTATATCGAAATGCTTGAATCTGGTGCTGCTAACTACCAAGTTTTTTGCTGCCGCGAAGTCGATCAACCTCATGCCGTTGCCTGAGGCTGAATTTTCCGACGGTGGGGCCAAAGATATTTTCCTTTCCGATTTTTGCATTAACATCTCCTAGCAGAATTTTAATGTCATGGCCAGGGCAACGGTCATATGATGTTTCTAGGCGCTCGTAAAATATGTCTTTGGTCTGTTCATCTTTATCTTCGATCGGAGCATGGGCGCAAATGAGACTGATGTAGAAGAACTTCGCTTTATTCGGATTATAGTAATTCGCTCATCTACTGGAGTGAATCTAGAGACAAGGTCTTTTATTCTCCTGTTAACCATAAATCCGCAGACAAATTTACGTCTCGTTTCATGGCAGCTGTAATACAGGGCGTAATCATCTGATTTACTTACGCCAGTCCCTTTCCATCGCATTGCCTGTAAGGCAATAATATCGGCTTTGTACTTCTTGAGTACATCCGCCAAAGCGAACACTGCGCCTGTTCTGTACAACGTGCGCACATTCCAAGTGCATATTCGCAGATCGTGGTCCTTTATACGTTTGCGGGGGTCGTCAACATTAGGGGGTTGGTTTTTCTTTTTCTTTGCTTTTTCATAGTAGGAGGGGTTTTCCAAGTGTGGGCAACTAACCCGACGCCTCAACCCATTTTTTATAGTTCTTATGGGTGAACTCGCGGCACATATTAGCTGTACCAAATTTGGTACACATTTATACAAACTTCTAATACTTCCTACATATCTCAATCTTACACCCAACAGTGATCCTGACACCAAATTGCATGTTTCTTGCTCTATTGGTTCACTTAAAATTCAAATTGTACCACATTAAATACCATTTAGTACCCATAACTATTAATTTCTTAAACTGAATACTGACCCAAATCCTACACCCCTACAGTGATCCTAACTCCAAATTTCATTGTTTCCGCTCTATCGGTTCACCCAAATCCATAGTGTATCAATTATAGTACGAATTAGTACTTTTCGTACATATAAGTCAAAAATTTCCAAAACTACGTACATATCCCAATCCTACGCTTCGGCGGTAATGTTAATTTCAAATTTCCGGTTTCCAGCTCTATTTGTACCTCCAAATTAAATTTGTACCAAAAATAGTACCATATAGTACTTTTCGAACACATGAGTACACGCTTTCAAAAACATATCCTTAAATAGACCCTACATCTCAACCCTACTTCGCATTTCAAATTTCAAGTTTTTAGCTCTATCCATTCACATGCTCCGAAATTGTACCAAATTTAGTACATTCGCATACTTATAGTTCGAATGTCCAAAAAACCCTTTGCTATATCTATTCTACACTCTATCAGTGACCCTCATTTAAAATTGAAGAGTCCTAGCACTACCGGTTCGCCAAATGCAAATGAGCGTTGATGAATCGTTAAGTCAGTCAGTCAATCAGTTTAGTCTTTTATTAGTATAGATTACCGACTAAATAAAAAGGTTCCATAAAAAAAAACTTAAAATTCATCGGGCAGAAAATAACAAATTTGCGTTCTCACACATTTGCCAATGTTTAGTTGCATCAATTGAAAGTGTATGAGAGTGTGGAGGGCTGGTTTAGGTTGTCATAATTTTAATCAGTTAGTTTTGTTTCGGAAGTATATGGGTTTCGTCCGTGGCCTTAAAATTTTAAACTAAAAGTTCTCGAAAATTATTTAAATTATAAAAAGGTCATTGTAAACCCTATCAAAACTTTTACTAAAATATGTATAAATTGTTTCAGTTGATTACTCTGAACAAATCCCTGACTAATGTAAATTTATGAGAATTTTTGAAAAAAGAAATTGAGTCATTATAAGGAAATTTATAATCGTCCACAGGCTTCAGAGCCACACAAAATGGCAATCGTTTGAGTTTAACGAAATGTCTTTAATTGTGAAACTCATAAAATGGTTCAGCGTCATATACAAAGAAACGCAATCAATTCAAAATAAAATACCTAATGCCATGTACAGACGAGCGTTGTTCGCTCTCTCATTCGTTGTTCGACCCTTAATTATGAAGTAATTACTTAGTTCCCCATACAAAATTGTCTGAGCGAACACCGACTTTTGTACGTTGTTCAATTCGAATCACTCTCTGAACCACCAAGAAATTTGTCCCATCCCTAACAACTGAGAGCATTTATCGAAAATAAATTCATTTTGACAGCTTTAAAATATTTATAAAATGTTCAAGCTTTTTTGGTAATATTGAAAATGATGAATGAAAAGTAAAAAATTGTCTAGTTTTTATATATGCAGCAGGATGTAAATTTTGTTATCTACATAATGTAATGTAAATTTCTGTCCCCATAGTTCTAATTAGCGTGTGTGTGTGTGTGTGTGTGTGTGTGTGTGTGTGTGTGTGTGTGTGTGTGTGTGTGTGTGTGTGTGTGTGTGTGTGTGTGTGTGTGTGTGTGTGTGTGTGTGTGTGTGTGTGTGTGTGTGTGTGTGTGTGTGTGTGTGTGTGTGTGTGTGTGTGTGTGTGTGTGTGTGTGTGTGTGTGTGTGTGCGCGCGCGCGCGCGCGCGCGCGCGCGCGCGCGCGCGCGCGCGCGCGCGCGCGCGCGCGCGCGCGCGCGCGCGCGCGCGCGCGCGCGTACAAAACAAGAAACAAATTTGGGGACACTCAAACAAAAAATTCTCAAAATTTTTATATGTGACATTTGAATTTAGAAAATATAAAAATGTATGAAAACAATAATATTTTCAGAAAAAATGGAAAACATGAATTAAAAGTAAATAGATATGGGTTCATACTATAGTCAGGAGAAA